TGTAATAAGGTTTTGACTAATTTGGAAGCTAAAACTTAATTCATCATAACAAAATGATCCATATTTTCTTTATTTTCAAGCAGATTTTATAAATTTTTGAAAGCTTTGACAATTTATCCTTGCAAATTGCACAATATTCTGAGTAAATTCAGCTAAAAATAGGATAGCCCCAAGGGAAAAAATAAATAAATCCTAAGGAAATCACTGACTACTGCAATTAAGTATTCAGCTATCCAAGCTCAAAGGAAAGGAATGAAATAGAGTAAAACAAGGTATACAATGCAAATTAAAGTTTGTAACGTAAAACAAAAACTCAAAGAATTTGATGTTTTGAGACAGTTAAACATTTTTAATCAGATGACATCTTGCCAAAGAGATCTTTGGATTTGATACTTTTTTCTTCTTCCTATTAGGTTAAGGAGTGCAAGCACCAAGTATAACACAGACAACCCGAATTAATTAAATGAATATGTGGACTTTATTTCAGAGTCCTTAAAAGGCTTCGGTTATGCACCCAGTGACATGTAATCATGTTTTGCACAGTTTTCTCTTAGTGTCAGTAAACAACTTCCCCTGATTTCAGGAAACTCTTCCTTGTAATTTGACTCCTACACTGATGCCCTCTGTGACTAAGAAGATAGAACTAAGAAACAGTCTCACCTTAGGGTGATTAACCAGGTTCCTCATTGGTGAAGTTTATTTTACTCGACTTATTCAAAATGTTATGCTTCTGAAGAGGGAAATATTTATATTTTTCCCTGGGGTTGTTGTTCATTTAATACAGTCTTTAATCAGTAAGACACAGCTGTCCTTTCTGGGTAACTATCTAAAATTACATTAATTAAGACAACAATGAGAACACTAAATTATCATTGGAACTAGCTCATCTAAAAACTACACTGTATGTTCCTCCAGGTTACATCGGTAAGTGCAGATTTGTATGACCGAAAAGGGGTTTTTAAAGAACCCGTTATTTTCTAGGAATCACATATTCTTTATTATGTGTCTTCTGATCCTTGCAAACTCTGGAATGGCCTTGTATACTGTGAGCCACTTGGAGTATCACCCTGATATACCTGCACCAGCTGTTCTGAAGTTGAATTTTCCAACAATCAGAACCATATTACAGTACATTAAAACCAGTTTACAATCGCTTTTACAGTTTAAGCTACATTGCAGCAAATCTAGAAAACATATTTGACTATGGGTAATTAACGATGCTGATCGTTAGTATTTGTTGAACAGATTTTTAAGTGCTGCTTTCCGGGCTGATATGACACTCTTGACTCAAAGTTTTTGTGCCTCCACAAAGATTTTTCGTCTTTATCTTCAAATAAACCCCATGACTGTACTCATAAATTATACAGAATACTTAGTAAGAACTAGTTAACAATTAATTAATGGATTTTAACATCTAAAAGCTGTTTTTGACACTATAAGTCCAGTTTATCGCAAAAAAATTACTATATTAATAAATTATGCAAGACAAACAGTAATGTATTCATTACTAAAACTGGGGCGACAGTGGCGTTGGATGTAGGAGTTTGCCCTGAAATCGAAGGGTTGACGGTTCAAGCCCCGACTCTGACTTTCATTGTCGTTGTGTCCTTGGGCAAGACACTTCACCTGCATTGTCTACTGATGGTGGTCAGAGGGCCCGGTGGCGCCAGTGTACGGCAGCCTCGCTTCTGTCAGTGAGCCCCAGGGCAGCTGTGGCTACAATGTAGCTTGCCACCATCAGTGTGTGAGTGTGTGCGTGAATGGGTGAATGAATGTAGTGTAAAGCGCTTTGGTCAAGTCTCCTAACTTGAATAAAGGCGCTATATAAGTACATGCCATTTACCATTTACCATTTACTAAAAAACAGTAATCTAATAAGGGCAGGGCTCGCACAGGTTTATCCATCATTTAAGCCCAGAAAATGTTGCTCTAAAAATGTCACACTGCAAGTTAACCAGCAGCTTTTATCTTACATACACCAAACTGCAGAACTCTTTCTGGACAAGGAGGTTGCTACTCTGTCCTCTCTTACCATACAGTATATGGTTGTGCTTGTAATAATGTTTTAAAATGCTCAAGCTAATTATCTGTTAAGTTCACTTTTTTTTTTTTATTGCTGTTCTACTTTATTTACAGCCCTGTTATAGGTTACTGTTTTAGTTTTATAACACTGATGCTGTTCGTGTCATGCAATGATGTTGTGTGATGCTGCCAGCAATAAAACACAGTGGGTTTTTGGTCTTGCTTCATAACTTGTTTGTCATTCTGTAGCACTTTACAGTCCTAGACATAATGGAAATTGTTGCATGAACAGCACGCAGGAAACAGCACCACTGTGCTTGGGTAACATTAAGTAATGAATCTGATTCTGGCCAGCTGGTAACCATTTTCTGGTCAAGAAAAGTGTTGCATTTATATTCAAAGCGCCTGATTGTGGAACAGTATGTGTTCCAGTATTGGCAACACATACTGTTTGATTCAATTTTGAAGGCAGCATCGATATAACAGCTTACTGTTAAACAGTAAGTAATACAGTATGCATCATTAGTATGGATCCATACCATCCACACTTGCTTATGATACTGTATTACAATACACTGTATGCTGTAACACAGTGGTTTTCAAACTCAGTCCTGAGGAGCAACTGCCCTTATGTTTTAGGTATTTCCCTGCCTCCACACACCTGACTTAAATAAATGGGTGGTTAGCAGGCCCCTGAAGCCCTGTGGTGGCTACTAAGGAGGGAGTGCAGACATTCGATGCAGCACACCTGTTTGATACAGGTATGCTGGAGCAGAGAGACATCCAATGCATGCAGGATAGAGAGTCCTGAGGAACGTATTGGAAAAAGAATAACAACACTTCTTTAATACACCAGTATTTTGTGATTTTTTTTTTCAGAATTTTCTATAGAGTCCTGGCTTATGCCTGGTTTGAATTGTTGTTCAATATGTAAGATACAAATATAAATGTAATATTGAACAAACATGGAAAAAAAAAAAAAACTAACAAACCAACAAACAAAATTGGCAAATAATTATTAAGAGGGCTGCTCTTTGACGCAGTGGGCAGCTCAGTGGCACAGTGGGTAGCACTGCTGCCTTGCAGCAAGAGGGTTCCGGGTTCTATTTCCGGCCTGGGGTTTTCTGAGCGGAGTTTGCATGTTCTCCTTGAGCATTCGTGGGTTCTCTCCAGAACCCACGAATGCATGAATAGCTCCCACAGTCCAAAAACATGACTGTCAGGTTAATTGGTTTGTCTAAATTACTGTATGCCTAAATAGTAGTGAATCGATGTATTCTATTTAGGTGAAAAATGGTGAAAATGCATGCAAGGTGCAATAAACAAATGTAGGCTAATAATTTGCAAGAATGTAAATCTACTTCCACCCCTGGTAAAGACACAACCATTTGCTTATTGTTTTCTGGAATAGGTTCTTGGTAACTGAAACAACCTTTCTCACTGCACCTTGTTTGAGAGGACATTTGTGAGCATCCAATCTTCACAAGTGTGTTGCAAGTTCAAAGGGAGCTCTGTTGGACATGTGCAATACATTTAGACCAAGTCTTTGATTTCAAAGGTCATCCAAAAGACCAAGAGGCATACTGTGATGATTGAGAGGATACAATCCGGACTGTTGTAATAATAGATCTAAATGTCAGTTTACTTATAAAAAGGTTGGGTGGACAGAGCCCCTCAGGGAGAGTTTCATATCAAATATTTCACCCTTGCTTTATGTTAGTTCTTCTTCAAACAACATCATATAATTTGGTTAACAGTTTAATTTATCTTAGCTTTTGAACCAACAATCATCAACATCCCTAAGTAATGTTATTAACCAAGTGGATTCATGGTCAGAGTTCCTGTAAGGTAGCAGCTGATAATTTACTAATTTCTAATCTTAGTTATTTCATATATAGTTAGTTATACAGATCTAGTTTTTACTGATACCTTTTTCTACGTCTCTTCGACAGCTGACTGCACCTGTTTACGTCAGATTTCTGCGTGTTCCACTTTTCTTTTGTGTCCACCACAAACAAACCTAATCTAGATAATTATTTGCAATTAAACAACTCAATGTACAACATATTTATAAAGTACAGCAGGGTGAAAGCATAAAGGGATAAAGGTTGTATTTTTGAACACAAAATAGGAAGAAACAAGTGCTGTAGATACATAAAAAATAAAATAACAGTAAAACACAGAAAAATATATTGCAGCTTCAAAAGGGCATGTAGATACTTAATCAAAATTATTAATTAAAGACAATAAAAAGAATAATTTAAAAGTTTATGCTTAAAAATTATATACAGATAAAATAATGAGTTTGATAGCAAGGTCAAAAGTTGCTTTTATAATATTAATACTGCATTACTAACTCTGTTGACTGATTCCAAGTTACTTGCCTCACTCTGCTGATCAGCAGTCAGTGCTGATCACTTGCCATTTAATGTTTCACATATGTCATATTTTCTGCTGCCAGCTCTTCCATGTTCCCTTTATGTGTACCTAACACTGTGCTGCCAAACGACGTTATCTTGTCAATAAATCAGAAAGAGAAAAACAAAAATGTGTTTGACTACAGTGGTTTAGGGGCCTTTCTCTATCTTGAATATCTATAGTGTTTAGTTTGCTAATTGCCTCACGTTTTTATCTCAAAATAAGTAAAAGAGCTGCCAAAGTTAAAAGAAGCAGTCAAAAGACCCTAAAGAGGTCTAAAAATGTATCAGTCAAAACCCCTGACTACCAGAAGGTCTGACTGAGAGCAAAATATAAAGAAATTACTTGATATTTTTGCAGTTTGAAACAAAGTCAACATAAAACCTGGTGTGAGATTTTTCACAAAAAACAAATTTGCAGATATATCTCAGTGCAATCAGTCTCTCCTGAATCCTAAATGACAGGTCGCCTCCATCTCACCTCGAGGCAGTGATGTAAAAGCAGTTATTTTGTAAAATCCATCCTGTATTTCTGACCTTCTTCTCCACTGCTGGTTTCAGGCTGGGCATGGAACATGATGGCCAAGGAAACCGCTGTGGGGATGAGACCGCCATGGGTAGCGTGATGGCCCCTCTGGTGCAGGCAGCCTTCCATCGATACCATTGGTCCATGTGCAGCGGACAGGAGCTCAAGAGATACATCCAGTGAGTTTATGCTTGGGGCAAATGGTTGTCAGTTGAATCTAAAAAAAAAAATACTTAACTACAGTGTCCACAGCACAAGAAATATTTACTTAAGTAAAAAAAAAACATCAATATATCTGGCTTTTTTTGTGAATAGAAAAGAATATGGCAGCTGAAAAAAATTTAACCAGCCTAAATGCTGCATTAAATGTTTCCTTTACTCTGTTTAGTGGAACATTTCTTAAATATTTTGCCAAGATGCAGTTATTCACCAGCTATGAATGTTTGTTTGTGTAATGAATCATAACTGATATTTCTATGCTATTCCGTGTCTCTTTCATGCTGCCACCGTGTTTGACTTTTCATTTACCCCATTTAAACTAGCCGTTTGAAACCGTGCCAAGAACGGTAAAAGGATTTAAAAACCGTAAAAGGATTTTGTACTACTTCATATTTGTGTTGCTCTTTCTGATAGATGTCCACAAGTTATCTTGGATGAATAAAAAAATGTTTTTTCTTATTAAAAAAGTTTACCTAGTAAACCTTGTAAAACTATAACATGCAATCTAAAATGATTCAAAAGATAACATGTAAACATCCCTTGTTGTTGTATTGTTGTGGTATTATTTTAAGTTGATGAAACATTTTAAATTAGTGGCTTTAAAAATGCATAGATTTGAAAATACCTTTAAAGACGGTCCTCAATGAAAATGTCAATTTAAGAGAATAGAAAATAAATAGCTGGAGGCACAGATGAGGAGGAAAAAGAAAACTAAATTTAAATTTGCTGTCCCTTTAAAATATGTCAGCATATTAAGTGTGCCCAAACTTTAACATTATCTCCCCACATTGCTCAAAACAAACAATAAGAACCACAACCCTACATATGCTCCTGAATACAAATACTCTGACTGTTGAGATGAAACTTTTTCTAAATTGTGCTTAGTTTACAAGTTTTTTTTTGTCTCACTCTTTAACTCTGAACATCAAAACATAACATTAGATAACAGTGACAGTAGGCAATCCATCACAAGGTAGTGCTGAGCTGTTTCTGATCAAACTTAAGCTCCTTTCACACAATAAAGGAACAAAAAGGTGACATTCTTTGCCTCCAGTTTTGGAGCTGGTAATACAGTACATCATACATAATTTGACTTGGGGATGGGTAAAATCTTGGAAAACCAAAAAGCTTTGCCCCCTGAATAGATTAGCTGTCAACGTAATTGGCTTTCCAACTGTAGGCTGTGATGGAGCGATGATATGTATCAAGATCACATTGCAGTAGTAACATTTATGAGGTCACAGCAGCCATTATGGATTTTGAGTCCAACTTTGGTGTGACTACTCTACATTTAAGAGCAGAAAATCCATATTTTTGGACTTTCTGTTAGCTTTAGACATTCATATAAATTGATAAACTATATAATGATAATGAACTCTATTACTTCTGTAAGTTTGCAGCATTAATTCCTACTCCTTTGTTTCCCCAGTCATCCTTCATATCTATATCTATGTCTATAATCCCCATTTTTATCTTTCTTCCCTCTCATCTAAAACGCCTATCAATCTCTCTTTCTACTCTTTATTTTTAAAATTCTTCATTTGCACAATTTAAAGCCTCTAGCTCACAAAGTAGCCTACAGGATCATGGATGCAGTCAAACTCTTCCATTTTGCAAATCGATGGATTATGTTCCTCTTTATATTTATATAAACTTCCCATTACATATTTTCAGAATATATACTTCTTTGTAAATGAAATTTTAAAAGCTCCAATAGTTTCAGAGTGCTGTAGCAAGCTAGGATAATACGAAGCTGTGCTATATTGAAAAATAACCCAGTTTATGTAACAACAAAATGATGAAGAACATCGTCCTTCATTTTTCACTATTATCTCTGTTTTTTTGTAGTGCTGTTCTGTTTATCCTACTGAACCAGGACTGTGTCTAATTTCTTGGCAGCACTTATGACTGTTTGCTGGATGATCCTTTTAAGCACGACTGGCCGCAGCTACCTGAGCTCCCTGGTATCAACTACTCCATGGATGAGCAGTGTCGGTTTGACTTTGGAGTAGGCTATAAGATCTGCACCTCGGTGAGTAGATTCCTGAAGCTGTTCATTTACTCAATACCCACAGAATGTATTTATTGACCCAAAAATAGATATGCCATGGAGAGTGGCACTGTCAAGACAGAAACAGAAGAGATGGAATCCGTTGGGGATTCAGTATGTCACTGTGCTAAAATAAATTTGATAGTATCCTCTTCAGACCTTTTTTCCACTATTTAGGAATGACAGCAGAGACACACTGGTGTCCACCTGTTCCAGAAAAACCTGTAGGTAGATTTGAGATGACAGCCTTCAGAGATTGTGACATTTATATGAGAAAACTCAGGAGTAGAATCCGAAGCCTTAGCAGCCAATTCTAATGGCCATTGGCGTATTTCACCACATCGCGACCTGCCTTCCCACTATTCAAACACAACGCATTATGTTGCTGTTTGCTGTCATCACAATGTTTACGCCGCCTGGGTGAGGATGCTCATTAGGATAGTGATGTAATATAAAATAAATATTTTCCTCCATTTAGAGTAAGTGTTTTTCTTAAGTATTTCTAATAGGATTTGACAAGGGGACCGGTGCCTATCCCAAGCAATCATTGGGTGAGGAGAGGGTTACAGCCTTGACAGGTTGACAGCCATCACAGGGACACACAGGACCATTTATTTCATTTCTGTTTTGCTGCTATGGGATGAACTCGTATTACATGGAGGGAATCTATGCATGCACAGGGAAAAGATGCAGAACCCATGTAGAAAGAAAGACCAAACGGCTGGTATCCAACCTAGGATAATTTTGTAAGGAATTGTACTACCAACTGCTGCAACCTTCAGCCCACATGCAGATAAAAAGCAGCCTTTCCCTAACCAAAACACATTAACTTATTTATAAATGTGTATTGCCTAAAAATACTAACAATAAAAGTAAAAACCTTATGATAAGATTTTGCAGTTATTTTTAGTTTTAAGTGATGCAAACATGTGCTAGTGCTTTTTTAGACTCAGTTCTTGTCATTTTAGCTCCTACAAGCACCTAATCCTAGCTAAGGGAAGAATTCATTGTATAAAGAGCTGGAGTGCACCATGTTTAAAAATAGCTTGAAGCTCATTTGTGATTTTTCTAATTTCTAATTTTTTAGCTGTATTAATGAATAAAGTACAACCACAGAGCTAGTTCAGTTTATAAAAAGTAAACAGTACTGTAAAGATCATTATCATTGATGATGCGTGAGCTTATTAAAAGCAAAACAGTTACAAAAAAATTTTTTTTTTTACTCTAGTCCAACTGGGAAGAATCTTTTTCAGGTTCTGAGAATAATAATAATGTTTTACAAGTTTGTTAATAAGAAATTGGGTCAAATAGTAGGATTTTAAGAGTAATTTAAAATAGTTGAACGGGAAAAAAAACAGAAAACGCCTTTAAACTGAATGATCAAGTTCTATGGGGAACTATTTTAATGACACTGTGCATTTTGTTTTTTGTTTTTCTTGGCTGCTCAGTGCTGCAGTGGTTTGCACTGCTGCCTTGCAGCAAGAAGAAGATGTAAATATTGGTATGTAAATGGGTATGTATATGTATGTATGTGGGTGTGAAAAAAAAAAATATATATATATAAAAATAAAAAAAGATAATAAAAAAATTAAAAATAACAACAAAACATAGATGTTAAACAGGAAGGTACTTTTAGGTTGCTTTCAGTGCAACTAGAGGGAGAAGGGGTATGATAGATAAGTTCTACTTCTTCATACCCCTTTTCAGACAATTTACAGTAAGAAATAATCAATGACAGACATTAGGGTAAATATAATGCTTGTTAAGGGTAAACATTGTTTAGTGCATTTCTATTTATGTTCAAATTATTTAAATCGAATCGGAACAAGAAATTTATATTAATATTTACCATCATTTTTTTTTATGTGATACACATTTGTTAGTATTTCTGAAATTGATTTAATTATTGTTATTATTTGATCATTTCTGAAATTGGAATTGTTCTATTTATTATTATTTGTTCTTTTGATTCATTTATATTATTTGTTAATTTTATTTATTTATTTATTTATTTTTTTGTTACTAATATTATTGTCTGAAATAAATAAATATTCATTCATTCATTCATTCAAGGTTCCGGGGTCGATTGCCGGCCTGGGGTCTTTCTGCACATAGACTTTGCATGTCTCACTCTGCATTAGTGGGTTCTCTCAGGGTACTCTGGCTTCCTCCCACAGTCCAGAATCATGACTGTTAAGTTAATTGACTTCTCTAAATTCTCCTTAGCTGTGAGTATTTGCGTGAATGGTTGTTTGTCCTTTTTGTGTCTGTGTTGCCCTGAGATACACTGGCGACCTGTCCAGGGTGTACCCCTCCTCTCACCCATAGACAACTGGAGATAGGCACCAGCTACCCTTGTGACCCCAGCAGGGATAAACGGTGACAGAAAATGGATGGATGTGCAGTTTTTCAGGGTTGCAATACTTGTCTCAAAATTGCCTAACTGTCAAAGTGCACAATGTTATTATAGCTTTATTTTCCTGTTATCCTTTAAATACACAATTTATACTAAAATAATCAATGTTAGCTTTTTATAAATCTACTTTTTATGCAAAAAAACGGTTCAGCTGATTACAGTATATGATCTGAACAATCCATGATTTATCATGTGAAATTTCTGATTTTTTGTGTTCAGGGACATTGTCAAGCAGTGCATTAGTTAACATGAGAGATCTCTGACAGAGACTTTATGCTAAATCACTGAATGTAAAATTCATTAGTTATCTTACAAGGTTCAAATACAGAAAACTCATTTAGTATGCTAAGGCATTCATTTTATGTCATGGAATCTTATCTTCTCCTGTATATGTGGCTTTGATTTCACATTTGTGCTTTTAGTGATTGCTGATGATGATTCATCTTGTCCTCCAGCACAGTGAGCCATACCGACATAAAGGACTGCTGGCAGCCAATCAGGGCTGTTCTACCTCTAACAGGATGTCACAGTCTTGAATGTCCTGTCCAGTTTTCCTCACAGTCATCTCTAAATGTGCCATAGCATCCTGCTGTCTTGTTTTTTGGATTTATTGATAATAAATGTATTTTCTCAAAAAGAACAAAACCACCAGAATTCAGGCGCTCCAGTATCTCTGTTTGTATCTCAGCAAAGCAAAACAAAACAAAACAACAGCTTTCGTAATTGGCGTTATGGGACCTTTTCTGTGATGCACAGTAAATTTCATTCTTTTATGCATTAAAAGGTTTTTTTTTTCTTCCCTCTTTGGGCAATAGTTGCTTGTGCTTCTGCAAACAAAAGGCTATTCACACAACAATTGACTGAGATTGACAAAGAGGGGGGAGGCAGAATGAGCAGACATGTATTTTTCTGAGTGTCTCATTAATCCCTGCTGGATCTGGATGCTGGTACTGTAGGTTGTAATTGTTTCTGCCAAGTGCTTAGAAGTGTGTTGAACAAAGGAAATGGTTTTTAATATTGCCATCTAAAAAAATAGGTTGCTTAAAATTACTGAATCTAAACATTGACTGTTTAAGAATAATGAGCTGGTCTCTCTTAAAGTACCATTAATCTTCTTTTCTGATGGCAGAAATGGTATTTATTTCAATATTATAGAGTATTGTAGGATGAGTCCGTTATCATGCTCTTCCTGTGATGAAGGATATGTTTCTATAATTCTAGAATCAGATATATGTCAGTACTTATATTGAAGAATAATCTAACAAAAAAGAACAAACAATGTAAAAACTGTCTCTCAATGCCTACTTTATTTTTTCACCTTTATCTCACTAGGTCGGAGGCCCTGCCTCATCCTAGTCTTCAGGACCGTTTGTTCTTCATATAAGATCTTTAAATTGTTTCTTGGAGATTATTGCTTATATTGACATGAAGGCATCATGTACTTATTTCAAATCTTCCCCTCTGTGATGGGAATCTTCTGCTCCATCAAACCTGATAGGTACTTTATTAGATTGGGATGTGGGGAGTTTGGAGGCCACTAAAACTACAGAAGGTGTTACCGGATGAAAGAATGCAGTGGTCACCAACTAGCCTTAGTAGACAATGATTTGAAACAATGTTCAGTCAGTGTAAAGTAGACTTGAGAGAACCAAAGATCTTTAGGGAAATATTACCCCAAAAGATAAACCGCAGGGCTAGTATGAACTATACATCTACTATACATGTCTAAGGGTAACGAAGTGCGCTAAAATGCAAATAAAGTAAAAAAGTAAAGTAAATAAAGTCTCTTAGGGGAGAACAACACCAGAGGACACTGATATCAAAATCAAAACAGATTATGGACATTTTCACACTGGATCTCAAGGAACCTAGATTTTGTGCTATTCCACTTTTCTTCCACTCTTGGACCTGGATTTCCAAAAATACGTAGGTAACTTTGACCAGAAAAATAAATCTACAGCACTTATAAACAGTGCAGCTCACTCAGGGACCCAGAGTGAAAGTCTGAGTTTCTGTCCAGCGATCTTTTGGTGTCTCTCTAGTCTGGCTTTTGAAGCTCACACTGGGGCTGCGCTCCAAGCCCCATATCTCTTTTCCAAAAGCTTCAAACTTCTTTGTTTCTTAACCCTCTGAAGGATTCTTTTGTCTTGTTTGTTTGTGCACCTTTTTCTGCAGAAGTTTTTCATTCTGCTTACTTTCTATTATCCTTGGATGTAAAAATATTTGGACAGCCAACCTCTTTTGATTTCATCTTTTGGGGATTATTTTAGCTACCTTTAAGGAAATAGCAGTTTTCACTTGACTGCACTGGTCAACACCTTTTTTCATTTGCTTTAATGTCACATCTATTTTCTTTTTTATAAACTCTTGGGATTTAATTGACTGAATGCCTCAGAGATAAATTATAGAAAATGTGTCACTATATGTAACTTATCTATGTTAAATTTTAGTTTTCAATTTTATTCTACTTAACTAGACGGCACCCATAAAAAGCATTTTTAATAAGCCTGCAAAGCAGTTTGATGTAAATGACCATGATCCATACTTTAGGTGGATCTATAATGAA